CTCTCTCTCTCTCTCTCTCTCTCTCTCTCTCTCTCTCTCTCTCTCTCCCTTACTCCATGGTTGGACTGAATGAAAGCATCCATACTGTACATTCACCCACACAACAGGGTCATATTCTCTCCTGAGTGTACTGTGGAGTTAGGCTTCACTGAGAGGGAAGGAGTGTCAAAGAGCTGTCCTAAAGGGAAAAGTGGATGACGAGAGGCTGGCTTCCTTATTTTTAGCTCAAATCACACATTATTTCATCTTGATAACCTGTGTCTCTGTCTCTTTTCTCTGACTGAGCACAGCTGCTACTCTTCTCTTCCTGCATCTGTTCCTAAGATCCCGTGTCTCATCCTGGCCATCAGCTTCTCAGCTTTACCATGAGAGGTTAGGCAGCAGCTAGGTACCTAATTCAATCTCTGTAGATCCTTACCTCTGATCAGGATGTCCAGGGCATCACTGGATGCTGACCACTCAAAGGAGAGGTTGTTCAAACCATAGCATCTGTATTGACCTCCAGTGGAGTAGCTCACATTGTCAAGTGTAAAGTTGGCCATGGAGAGGCCAGTGTCCGTCCACTGGCTAGGGTGCTGCATGATGTTAGATTCCCCCACCTTGTACAGAGCAAAGCTGTCATAGTTGATGTCAGACCAACACTGCAGTGTGAGGCTCATTCCAGGGTCCAGGATATGGCCTTGGTGAGTCAGCAGAGAGGGCTTCTTGGACAGCCCTAGAGGGAAGGTGACAGGGACTGAGGACTTGGCTCTTACTAAAAACCTTTGACCTCCCATCCTGCCCAGCACATGTCACAGCTTCTCCCCAAGGAGGGCCATGATTGAGAACACAGGCTCTCCATTTAGTCCTTCTCTACCTGCAACTCCGCAGAGGGGCAGGCCATGGCAAAGGACTTAGGGTCTCAGAAAATGATAGGTGAATAACAAGTAGGGACTTACCTGAGATAAGAATTTGTTGGAGCTCACTGGGTACTGACCACTGCTATGGGGCATGCTCATAGTGACCATAACATCTAAATGTCCCTGTGTGCTTTGGGGTCAAGGGTCCCATAACAAACAGGGCTTCATACAGTCCACTAGAAGGAATGTACTGTGTGTCCAGTGAGCTGGTGACATTCTCATCTTCCTGGTGAGTATAAATTTATCATAGTGACTCTGTGAGGCACACTGGAGTGTCATGTTCCCTCCTACTGTCACCACAGGACTGGACAGTACAAACAGCATGGGTTTATAGTAGCCATAGATTCCCAGGAGAAAAGGAGGAAGTTTGTTACATGTCCTCACAGTGTAACACTGTTCTCTTTGATCACTCGGTGGGAGGGGAGTACTCCAGAGAGCAGAGCCTGGGGGTAGGAATCTGACTGTCCCCTCACCTGTCACCACCAGCTCCAGGGTGTCACTGGGCTCTGACCAACCAGCTGAGCTGTAACAATAACAGCGATATTGTCCTGCATGCTCTCTCCTCACAGAAGGGATGAAGAACTTGCCCTTGTTTCGAGGCTCCTGTAGGGTCTGTGTGCTCCAGGTTTCTTGGCTTTTCTCCTTATTCAGAAAACATATTTCAGCATCCAGGTTTCCCTGACACCAGATGGTCATGGCTTTTCCGGAGGGGATCACAGAGCCTGGTTCAGATTTGATGGTTGGTTTTTGGAGTTTTCCTACATAGAAATAAGAGAGAAGCACATGTGTGTGTTTGAAAATGGCACAGAGAATGTCCCACAGTGGATGTTGCTTTCCTTTTTATTTAATTTATTCTTCTGTAATGCAATACACAGGAAGAAGGCTCCCATCCTCTCCTCTTTCCTAATATTACACAATCCTCCCCCACTTTCCTTCATCCCCAGATTCACTGTACCTCCATTTCCTTTCAGAGACTAGAAGGATTTTCAGTGACATTTACTGAATGTGGCATAACAAGATACAAGAACAGTAGGCACATACCCTCATATTAAGACTGGACAAGGCAAACCACTGGGAGCCAAAACATTTCATGTGTAGGTAAAAGTGTCAGAGACATCTCCACTCCCACTGAACCTGAAGCAAGCCAGGTGATTGTGGCAAACACATTTAATCTGCACACTCAGGAGAGAAAGCCAGGTGGATCTCTGAGTTGGAGGGTGGTCTGGTGTACAGAGTGAGGTCCAGGACAGTAAACCAGGAGTACACAGCAAAATGCAACCCTCCTGCAGCCAAACAACAACAACAGCAACAACAACAACAAAACCATGCCAAACAGGCACAGCATGTGTGCAGAGATCCTAGGACAGACCCATGCAGACTCTGTGAGCCCTGGTGATTTGTGCTTAGTTGGTTCTGTGTTCTCCTGGCTGAGTTCTGCAGGTGCCCTCAACGTCTCCACCTACTGCCATCCTTCTTCTCTCTGTTCTTCCAGATTCCCTTAACTCTAGTGAATTGTGCTAAAGCTGATCCAGATGAACAGAAGGCCTCATGAAGAATCATCTCTCTACTGGGAACTCTGGGCTTTGCTGTCACTCTCAGCCTTTCATTCTAAAACCTGGGGCCAACTGTTTCCTGTGCTGTGTGTCCAAGTTCTAATGAGCTCTGGATCCTCACATGCACACATACCAAGTGCTCTCTGAGGGACTGTATCATTTCAATATCATTCTGTGGAAATGGTGGGGTTCCTTACCTGAGACCAGGAGCTCCAGGGGTTCACTAGGATCTGACCACACCTGTGGTTTGTTCATGTAATAGCTGTAGCATCTGCATATCCATCTCTGGTTGGGGGTCACAGGGCCGACAGAGAACAGGGCCTGGAACATCCTTGTAGAGTAGTTAAATTTTGAGACTTGCTTCCAGGAGAGCTTCTGTGGTCCTTTTACCATCAGAATGAACCTGTGATAATCCAACCGAGATTCACAAAGGAGGGTGACATACTCTCCCGAGGTCACCACATGGTTAGTTTGGGCTGAAAGGCTGGGTTTCCTGTAGGCTCCTAGGAGAGAAGTGGTAATGAGTTAAATGTTGCCAGCCCTCATTATCCTCCTTGGCTCTGAGATGGCAGTGTGGGTGGGTGGGCATTCCTTTGAACAGACACAAGTCTGGACAGTGAAAACCTGAGACCTGGAACCCTGTGTGTTCTCTCACCTGTCACCACCAGTTCCAGAGGGTCACTGAAGTCTGATGATTTAGCCTGGGTCCTATAGGAACATTGATACTGTGCTGCATCTTGTTGGTCTACATTTAAGAATGAGAATCCAGTCTTGTTTTCTGGCTTCTGTTGGTTCTTTGTGACTTTCCTATATGGATATCCATTTTTATAGAGAATGCACTCTTTGGCTCCGATGGTCTCTTCACACAACAAGGTCACATTAGTTCCCATGTAGACCACAGAGTCTGGGTGTGCTCTGAGGATAGGCTTAGGGAGGGACCCTGCAAGTAACAGAGCAGCTAAGACTCAGGACACCTACGTTCAGATTGCAGTCCTTAACCCCATGGCCTTCCAGCCACCCCCAGGAATAACACACATGTGGTGTTTTCCACCATCACTGCGCAGGTCTGGACCCTGGATACAAAGAGAAGAGCATTTCAGGAGAGCTGCAGACACACTCACCTCTAATCAATGGCATCCAGAGGCCCAGAGTCAGTCCTGGAAGAGAGTTCTTTGTAAGAGATTTGTCCCTAAGGACGAGCAAGACCCCTTCTCTGTAGAACTGCCTGAGACCCTGTGGTCTTCTGATGGGAGAGTGATGAGCTACTGGCCCTGGTCATTTCTAGACATCAGCATATCCTCCCCCTCTTCACATCTCACCAAGACACAGCAGGGCTGTGAAGTTGAAGGTCATGGCATCTCCTCTCAGAGGCTGCAACTGTGCTTGAGGGCAGAGGTACAGAGCCTTTCTGAAGGGATTGGGAAACAGGATATGGCCCTGAAGGCAGGGCTGTCCTTATGATGCGATCACATTTCACCAGCCCCACAGGAAGTGGAAATTCTCTCCTCATACTCTACACTCTGACTTCCTCAATTCTGTGACTAGACCAGGCAGTAGACTCTCTGCAATCAGGTCTTACACAGATGACATTTCCTCAGCTCACCATGTCTGCCTCACCTGTGCTCATCACTGTCAGAGCCATATTGTAGCAAACATGTGTGATCATGTCACACAACAGTACAAATTTAAGTGTGGTTTTGCTTTGTTCCTTTTCACATTTTTACATGAAATATTTCCTTCTTTTCAACATTTTTGATGTTTCTGAGAAGGGTCCTGCTGTTTGTATCTGCCTGGAGTAAGATTTACAGCCTTTTCTTCATAGTCGCAAGTGATGCATTAGCATTGGGCACTATAGCTTCTGTTTGGTTTTTTTTTTTCACATTTTTATTTTCCTGTACAATTTTAGGGATTCAATTTCTATTCATTTACATAGTGTTTATTTTTTGTGTTTGTATATTTTTTTGTATATGTACATGCATGTGTGTCAAAGAACATCTGTGGAGGTCAGAACATAATTTCAATAATAAATTTTCCTTTCACCATGTTGATCCTGTCAATCAGAGTCAGGTCTTAAGTTGGCAGCAGGCCCTTATATACTGAGCCATCTCACTGTCCCTACACTTATCATCATCGTTTTCCTAAGTCCTTCTGCTTAGTCAACAAATTATGTGGTCATGGAGATACTAGTGCAAACAGCTCTCCAGGTGTTTATTTGAGTTGTTTGGGATAATGGTTGTTGATGAATGAATATGGCATGATTCCTGCTGAAGTTCAACACACAGTGGTGCAGGCGTGGGCAGCATTTGGGAGCACCACTGTATCATTGTGTTGCAGTTGTAAACTTGAGAAGCTAGCAATGGAGTTGCTGGAGGATGGCAGCACACAGGCCCAGCACGAAGTATGGGGTGGAACTTTCTGGATGTTGTAGGCAGCCAGGGTTGTGTCTCCCTCCATCTGCTGGTGGGAAATCTCAGCAGCTGCTAGAGTTTTGATGACATGACTTCTTAGTCCTGAATCCTCAATGGTGACACTGAATTCAACCTCAAAAATGATGGACTTCCCTTCAGTGCCTTGCCAAATATTGACATGTTTGTGTCTGCATGGTAGCACAGTTCAAAAGAAAGAACTCAGTAAAATTGTGTTTTTTCTGTTTATTTTTCTGTGTTAGGGATCAATGGAACAGCCTCCAGTGTTTTCAGTACATAATCTACCAGTGAGCTACACAACTGTTTTACTCTGTGTTTTCAATGTTTGGTGTTTTAATTTTTCTCTGTTGACTTTTTTCCTATGCTGATAGGTTCAGTTATCTTTGTGGTTGTATTCACACAGTCTTCCGCTATGTAGTCCTGGTTGTCCTGGACCTGGTTATGTAGACCAGTCTAAACTGGACCTCATAGAGATCTCCTCCCTATGCTTCCCAAGTGCAGGGATTAGAGATGTGGGACACCACAATGAGTCCTGTGTTTACAATTTAAACTTTCTAAAAATTTTATTCCTGTATATATTGTGTTAATTGAATCTTCATTCCTTCATCTTCCCTTCCCCTTACCCTATCCATCCGCTTACCCTCCTTACTAACCTGAATTTATTTTTGGTTCTTCCCTTGAACTTCATTTTCTTAAAATGTGCTGCTCAATCTCATGAGAGTTCTCATTTTTCCCTTTCATTTAATAAATTTGTGTATTCTTTGTTTTTCCTGTGGCTGAGGTGCTTCTTGATGTGAGCTCATCTTAATCCAGAGACCTGTTCTGTGACCTGCAGTGGGGTGTCCTGGACAGTGTTGTGGGTGCTTTGTGGGTTGGAAGCTTTTTGCACAGTGGTGCACTTGGTCTGAACCCATTCTTGTGGTTTTTGGGGATGGCTTATTGATATTCTACCTAGATTATCTGTCTATTGTCAAAGTGGTTACAGTGGTCTGAATTATCTCGTTGTCTGTCTCTTCCTTAATGTCTGACTAAGCATGTTTTGTGTGGGCGTTTCTGTCTTAAGGACTTAGTTTTATATTCATGTAATTTACTCGTATGAGTATTTTGCCTAAAGTGTTTGTATGTGTGTGTCAGTTTGTGTGTGTGTGTGTGTGTGTTTGTGGTGTGTGTTTGTGTGTGTGTGTGTAACATGTGTGTGCATTGAATATGTTGTATGTAGAAGAGAACACTGTATTCTCTGGGACTGAAGTTACCAGTGGTTGTGAACCATAATATGGGTGCTTGGGCTTGATCTCAGGTCCTCTGCAAGAGCAATCAGTGCTCTTAACCGTTGGGCCACCTCTTTATGTCTGAGTAAACTTTCATGACATTATATTTGCCAATTATCTGATTTTTTCCTTTTGTCCTCAGGTTGTCATATTTTTCTTCTGGTGTAACAAGTACATTACTCCAAATCTCATTTAAATATAAGCTTAAATATGGTGTCAATCTTTACTAGAATACCATCTCTGTTTCTTCCTCATTTTTAGAAATCAGTTGTTCAAAATGGTAAGCCATGCGTTTTGATTTAACTCTTTCTCAAACTATTTCCTCTTCCATTGTCCTTCGGACACATCTAATTATCTGTTCTTTCCTTCTTGTATTCAGTGTAGTTTGTGCCATCTTTACATAATTAGCCAAACCTTTAATGAAAACTGACTCTTTCTTTTCCAGGAGCTCTTAGGTTCCAATAGCTCATGACCTAATGGTGCAATCTCTCGTTTTCCATCCACATGCTGGCTTTAGTGTGTATTGGGTTTTTATTGGTCTTTAGATACTGTCCAGACACTGTGAGCTCATGTGTTCAACCTTTCAGCAGTGTTCAGAGAATAGTCTTCCTGTAGTCATCCATCACCTCTGGGTCTTAAGATTTCTCAGCCTCCATTTTTGTAATGATCCCAGGCTAAGAGTGTGTTCTCTGAGGAAAATCTTCTAACTCAGCTTCACTTTGAAGGATGGGCCCAGGGCTAACAAGTTACTTAATATTTTCCCATTTTTTTCTGAACCTAAAAAAATCCATGTTGTTTATTGTGTGGCTGTCTATATACATCATCTATCAAATGAGAAAAGTGATAAATTAGTAAAGTACTTGTTTGATTTCCTGAGAGGCCTGGGTTTAATCTCCAGCTCTGCATATTTCTGATGTGATAGCTCATATCTGTGATTTTATTCTCCACCTCTTGGACTTAGGAGGATTAGAGTTTTAGGTAGTTATCCAGTGAGCTTGAGTCAGCCCAGGATATATCAGACCATTTCCCATAAAACACAAAAAAGTTCCCTAGAGTATGTGAGTATTAACTACAGTTTATGTCTGTGTTTTGTCTTCAAACCATTAATGATGAATACATTTACTATAAAGATCCCAGACTCGAAGTATATGCTGAGTTTTATTTTTTATATCCCTTTTTATTTTTGGTTTTTGGGGGTTTTTTGCTTTTGTTTTTGGTTGGTTGGTTGGTTGGTTGGTTGGTTGGTTGGTTGGTTGGTTTTTGTTTTGTTTGTTTGGTTTTGTTTTTTTTTTTCTTCGAGACAGGGTTTCTCTGTGTAGCCCTGGCTGTCCTGGAACTCACACTGTAGACCAGGCAGTCCTCCCACTCAGAAATCCACATGCCTCTGCCTCCCAAGTGCTAGGATTAAAGGTGTGCGCCACCACTGCCCGGTTTCATATCCCTTTCTAAGGTGCAGATTTTGTTCTAGTTCCCACACCCCCATCTCATGACCTCTGTGAACTGTCATGCCCCTTGTGTCACATGGATATGGCACCTCTTTTCTGGCCAGTTGTTTTTCTTGACCTGATAATAAGTGATGGGTCACGCCATGTGAAACAGTAAGACTTGCATTCAGTGCTGTGAGCTCAGTCTCACCATTCTCCCCACAGGAATGAAGCTCAAAAGGAAAATGTGCTGCCCTCTCCTAGTTAGATTATCCGTGCGAGGAACTTGACTCAGATGACTTGTGGCACACAGGGCCTCTCATCACTCTTCTGTGATGCAGAGAGCTGGCAGAGACATCACACTTGTTAGTGGATGTGAACTCCTTAGGACATTGTGTCATGCTTTTTCTCCAACATTGCCCCATGGACTCCTGTTGATGGCCCCACATATATGTCAGTCTCTGAGCACATAGTGAGAAGGACTCTGCTTGGTTAGACCTACATAGATCCCTATATACCCCATTTTCACAGGCTTCCAGCTAGTCCCCATTATGCCCTTCATTGATCTCAGTTCTCACTCTCCACCCTCTCCCACCTTCCTCTCCCCACATCTCACTGCCATTCCCATTTCCCTCCTCATCTTTTCTCCTACCCACCTCTAATGGATATTTAGTTTCCCCTTGTGAGTGAGATTTAACAGCCTCTCTTGGGACTTCTTTCTTACCCTGTTTCTTTGGGTCTGTGGATTGTAGTGTGGTTTCTGCCCTTCATAGCTAATGTCTTACAACCGAATACATACCATATGTGACTTTCTGGTTCTGGGTTTCTTCACTCAAAATGATATTGTCAGGTTCTACTCATTTGTGGGCAATATTTGTGATGGTTCTGTTTTCATTAGCTGAATGGTATTCCATTGTGTTGATGGACTAAATTGTTTAATCCATTCTTCAGATAAGGTACATCTAAGTTGTTCCCAGTTCCTTGCTATTATGAATAAGGCTGCTATGAACACTGATGAGCAACTATCCCTGTGATATTGTGTGGCATTGTTTGGGTATATGCTCATTTGTGCAAAGGCTGAATCTTGATGCAAACCTATTCTTAATTTTTTGAGAAACAATCCAATTGATTTCCAAAATGGTTGTCCACACTTGTTTTTCCTCCAACAATGGAGGAATGTTCCCTTTCCTCACATCCTCACATCCTCACCAGCATATGCTATCATTTGCATTTTTTTATTTACTTCACCACACCTCCCCAGTCTTTAGGACTTCCAGTCCCTTGAAGGTTAGGTGCATCTTCTCTGACTGAACTCAGATGTAGCAGTCTTCTGCTGTATCTGTGTTGGAGGCCTCATATCAGCTGGTGTAAGCTGGCTGGTTGGTGGCTCAGTTTCTGAGAGATCACTGGGGTCTAGGTTAGTTGAGAGAGCTGGTCTTCATATAGGGTCACCCTCCTCCTCAGCTTCTTCCAACTTTTCCCGAATTCAACCACAGGTCTCAGCAGCAACTATCTATTGATTGTGAGTAAATATCTGTATCTGACTCAGCTGCTTCTTGGGTCTTTTGGAGGGTGATCATGATAGGCCCCTTGTTGTGAGCACTTTATAGCCTCAGTAATAGTGTAAGGCCTTGGGAGATCCCAATTTGGGCCTGTCACTGGATGCCCTTTTCCTCAGGCTCTTCTCCATTTTTGTCCCTATAATTTTTTCAGACAGGAACAATTCTGGGTCAGAGCTTTTCCACTGTGGGATGTCAACCCCATTCCTCACTTGATATCCTCTCTACTTGAGGTGGTCTCTACAAGTTTCCTCTCTTCACTGTAGGGCCTTTCCTGTAAGAACTTTCTCTTCGAATTCTTAGAGACTCTCACCTTCCTGGTCTCTGTTACTTTCTGGAGTGTTCACTGACCTCCAACCTCCAAAGGTTGCCTGTTTCCATTCTTTATAAACATAGTAAAAGCAATGTACAGCAAACCAGTAGCCAACATCAAACTAAATAGAGAGTTACAAATAGGAAAGGAAGAAGTCAATATATCGCTATTTGCAGATGATATGATAGTAGAATGTGGATGCAAAAGAAGTCACACAAAAACACAACCCAAGCTCAAGATACAGGACTTAGTTCCAGCCCAATGCTAGTGAAGATTCAGGAGAGAAACCTCCCTACCCCAGCATCATCCTGTTCCTGAGAATCAACAGGAGTCATCCTCAGCTGGGAAAATCCTGAAAGACACATAGGATTGTAGGTCTAACACATCAGAGTCCATCTCACTATGTGCTCAGTGACTATGGTGTATATAGTGCCATCGATGGGAGTCCATGGGACACTGTTGGAGAACAAGCATGACCAGCATCAAGAAAGAGTTCACCCTGCACCTGGTGCTGCACCTGTGTGGTAGCATCTTTCAGCAACTCCTTTGCTAGCTTCTCAAGTTTACAACTGCAATATGGAGATACACTGGTGCTCACAAATGCTGCCCATGCTTGCACCACTGTGCCTTTTACTGCAGCAAGAAGAATCATGGCCATGTTCATACAAAGACAACTTACATCCCAAGAAAAGCAAACCTGGCAATATTTTAGGCCCAGGATAACTGAAATATTTTTTTTTATGACTGAAGCAGAAGGACTTAGGAGAATTATGAGTATAAGTGTTGGGCCAGTGAGATGTCTCAGTATATAGGTGCCTGCTGCCACCTTTAACTCCTGAGTTTGTGGTCGATGGGATTAACATTGTACAAGAAAAACGATTACTCAGGTTGTATTCTGACACACACACACACACACACACACACACAGAACATTGCAATGCCTAATTGTAATATATCATTTAAGAATGTGAAGCAAAAAATACTTTAAATCTTATTCCAAGCAGATATACAGCAGGACATTTCTCAGAAACATCAAGAATATTCAAAAGAGGAAATTGTTTCACATAAAAATGTGAAAAAGAACAGAGCAAAACCACACTTAAATTTGTACTGTTGTGTGAGATGTTCACACTTGTCTGCTACAATATGGCGCTGAAAGTGATGGTCACAAGTTAAGCAGCCATGGTCAGCTAAGGAAATGTCATCTGTGTAAAACAAGTGTGCATAGGGTCTACTGCCTGGCCTAGTCACAACATTGAGGAAGTCACAGCATGTTGCCTGAGGAGTGCAGTTCCCTTTCCTGTGAGGCTGCTGAAATGTGACCATGTCATGGGGACAGCACTGCCTCCAGGGCCACACCCTGTTTCCAATCCCTTCAGACAGGCTCTGGAGCTCTGCCCTCAAGCACAGTTGCAGCCTCTGAGAGGAGATGCCATGACCTTCACCTTCACAGCCCTGCTCTGTCTTGGTGAGATGTGAAGAGGGGGAGGATATACTGGGTCTAGAAATGATCAGGGTCAGTAGCTGAACTCTTACCCATCAGGAGACCCCAGAGGCTTAGTTGTTTATGCAGAGGGAAGGAGCTGATCAAGTTTCAGGGACAAATCTCTCACAGGAAACTCTCTTCCAGGACTCACTCTGGGCCTCAGGATCTCAGTGCTGGCAGGTGAGTGTCTGCAGCTTCCCTGACCTGCTTTTCGCTTCATTTCCAATAGCCATGCTTGGGCGGGGATGATGGAAAACACCACATGTGTGCTATTCCTGAGGGTGACCTGAGGGTCATGGAGTTAAGGACTGCAATCAGAGGAAGGATGGTCTGAGTCCTGCCTGTTCTTTTTCTTTCAGGGTCCCTTCCTAAGCCTATCCTCAGAGCACAGCCGGACTCTGTAGTCTCCATGCACAGTAAGGTGACCTTCTTGTGTGAGGGGACCCAAGGAGCCACAAGTTACTGTCTCTATAAAGAACCAAAACAATATCCATTGTGCATAGAAAATCCACCTAAATCTGGTAACAAGATTGATTTCTTCTTTTCAAACATTGACCAGTACCATGCAGGACATTACCACTGTTATTATCAGATGCATGGTAAAGTTTCAGAGGACAGTGATGCCCTGGAGCTGGCTGTGACAGGTGAGAAGAAGTCACTCAAGAAGTCAGGCTGCTCTCAGTGCTGCACCACCACCTCACAGCCCTGGAGGATGACAAGGCCTGACAGACTTAACTGATTCTGCCTTTTCTCCTAGGAGCACACAGAAAACCCAGCCTGTCGGCCCAGCCCAGCCCTGTGGTGACCACAGAACAGAAGGTTACCCTCCAGTGTGTGTCACGGCAGAATTATGACAGGTTTATTCTGACTAAGGAAGAACCAAAGAAGCTCTTCGGGATGAAGAACTCACGGTATAACTATACTACTGGGAAATTTGAGGCCTTCTTCTCTGTGTATCCAGTGACCTCCAACCAGAGGTGGACATTCAGATGCTACAGCTATGGCAGTCACAACCCACAAGTGTGGTCAGAGCCTAGTGACCCCCTGGAACTCCTGGTCTCAGGTGAGGAACCACATCCTTTCCACTTAATGGTGAGGTGAAACGGTGCTCAGGGAGGCCTTGATGTGTTTTTTTCAAAAGAGAGAGACAGGATAAGTTCTGTAGAGTCAGGTATGGTGAAATGTGAAGGATGACTCTGAGGGACCCATCCCTTCCCCATGAGGTACCAACCATATGACAGATATTGTATAGAATAGAGTTTGTTTATGGACACGGGAAGGGGCATTAAATAGAGACAGGCAGAGAGACGGGGAGGGGAAGAGGTCAGCCAGGAACACTTGGACAGAGAAGGGGCTGGGGGGTGGAACAGAGGGAAAAAGCAATCAGAGAGAAAAAAGGCAAAGAGAATAGGAGAGTGAGGAGGGACCAAACACATCTTTTCTAGGAAGCCAGGCCTACGTGGTTGTTGCCAGGTAGAAGTTGGGCAGAGCCTAGAAGGAATGCTAACACTTGATGTGTGTTGTATGTGAGGAGCCAGGGCTCTTTAGCCCATTGACAGAGAGAGCACAGGAGACAGTGCGACCACAGATACAGATTTCAATGCAGAAAGTAGTACAAACCCAGGATGTCCAGGACTGAGATGAGTCTTCACAGGTCTTTGTCCTAATCTGGATCACATTAAATGCCATTCGTCTCCCAAGTGTGACTTTCTTGGTACCACTTTCAAACACACCCACTTGCTTCTCTCCTAATTCCTTGCAGGAAACCTCCCCAAACCCATCATCAAGGCTGAACCGGGCTCTGTGATCTCCTTCACTAGTTCCGTGACCATCTGGTGTCAGGGGAACATGGATGAAGAAATGTATTTTCTGCATAATGAGAGAAGCCAAAAAAACCTGGAACACACAGACACTGCAGGAGCCTGGGAACAAGGGCAAGTTCTTCATCCTTTCTGTGAGGAGAGATCATGCAGGACAATATCGCTGTTATTGTTACAGTTCAACTGGTTGGTCAGAGCCCAGTGACACCCTGGAGTTGGTGGTGACAGGTGAGGGGACAGTCAGATTCCTACCCCCAGGCTCTGTTCTTAGGAGTACTCCTCCTCCCACACAGTGATCCAAGAGAATGTTGTGACACTCCGAGGACAGGTAACAAACTTCCTCCTTCTCTCCTAGGAATCTATCAGGACTATGAACCCAGGCTGTCAGTGCTGCCCAGCCCTGTGGTGACAGTGGGAGGGAACATGACACTCCAGTGTGCCTCACAACGTCACTATGATAAATTCATTCTCACCAAGGAAGATCAGAAGTTCACCAGCTCACTGGTCACACAGCATATTCCTTCTAGAGGACAGTACCAAGCCATGTTTGTTATGGGACCCATGAGCCCAAACCTCACAGGGACATTCAGATGTTATGGTTACTACAAGAATACAGCACAATTGTGGTCAGTATCCAGTGAGCCCCTGGAAATTCACCTCTCAGGTGAGTTAGCACCACCATTCTTTCAATCTTTTCTGAGACCTAAGCCCTTTGCCATAGCCTGACCCTATGCAGAGTTAAAAGTAGAGAAGAACTAAATGGAGAGCCTGTGTTCTCAATCACAGCTCTGCTTGGGGAGAAGCTGTGACATGTGCTGGACAGGATTGGAGGTTAAAGGTTTTTGGTAAGAGCCAAGTCCTCAGTCACTGTCACCTTCCCTCCAGGGCCGTCCAAGAAGCCCTCTCTGCTGACTAACCAAGGCCATATCCTGGACTCTGGAATGAGCCTCACCCTGCAGTGTTGCTCTGACATCAACTATGACAGATTTGCTCTGTACAAGGTGGGGGAATCTAACATCATGCAGCACCCTAGCCAGTGGACCGACACTGACCTCTCCATGGCCAGCTTCACACTGGGCCATGTGAGCCACTCCACTGGAGGCCAATACAGATGCTATGGTGTGCACAACCTCTCCTCTGAGTGGTCAGCCTCCAGTGACCCCCTGGACGTCCTGATCACAGGTGAGGATCTACAGAGATTCAATCCGGTACCTAGCCTCTTCTCAGGCTCTCATGGGGGAGCTGAGGAGCTGAGGGTTGAGATGAGAGTTGGAGATCATGGGGAGAAACAGAGACAGAGACCAATGAGCAGATGAGCTCAGTCAGACAAAGAAGAGAGACCCAGGTTCTCAGGGTGGAATCATGCGTGGTTTTAGCTCTGAAGAAGGAAGACAGCCTCTCATCATTCCTTTCCCCTTCAGGACAGCTCCGTGTCACTCCTTCCCTCTCAGTGAAGCCTAACTCCACAGTACACACAGGAGAGAATGTAACCCTGCTGTGTTGGTCAATGTACAGTGTGGACACTTTCATTCTGTCCAAGGGGGGATCAGTCCAGCCACCCCTGCGACTAAAATCAAAGTTCAAAGATCGACAGTTCCAGGCAGAATTCTCAATGAATGCTGTGACCTCCCATCTCTCAGGCACCTACAAGTGCTATGGATCTCAAGACTCATATGACTCCCTACCTGTTGTCATATGCCAGTGCCCCTGTGGAGCTCACAGTCTCAGGTGAGGTGATCCTGACATCTCAGCATGAGTCACAGTCCACACTGTGACAGAGCAATTTACTTGGGTGGGAATAAGGAGATAAAAGGAAGGTTTTGTCAGAAGACACTTTCCATAATAGAGGAGTGGATCCCAGGAGGAGGTCACTTGAGTAATGTTCATTGTGTCTTCTATGGCCATCTAGGTTTGGATTAGCATGTATCAGGATCTAGCAGAGGTTACAGGGAAGATTGAAGTTACGTGGGCTTGCATCTAATCCTCATCCTCTTCTTTTTCTGTTTCCTAGGACCCATCAGAACCTCTACCTCACCTCCCACAACATCCATGACAACAGATGGTGAGTATCAGGCACCACTGTGCAGGGAGTAGGCTCCAACCCTGGGCTGCTTGGCAGCTCTTGGCCCTATGAAAGTCCTCATTTCTCTCTCAGTTCAGTTTGTGAATGTAGGAGGCAAACAAAGATCCAACAGTGACCACAGACACTGTGGCATAGAGGCTGGGCTACAGAAGGAGGCATTCGGAGAGAAATATTTACGCTTAGCATGGGGGAACAGGTGTAGGAAGTAGAAATCAGGGAACATAAACACTCAACTCCCCATCCTGTCCCTAAATCTTGCAAATTAAACCTATCATATACATGGAGTCAGGCCTCAGAAGGATAGTAAACACTCGGTTAAAATGTGGGTGCAAATGATCAATAGCTAGTTGTAGGTTTGATACACCTGATTCTAGAGATCTTGACTTGGTTAAGTTCTTCTCTTTCTAGGATGCTCTTGCTGAGTATATATGGGAGAAGCCTGGCCCATATGTATTACTTTTTTTCTTTGTGCGTGTTTGTTTTGATTTATTTCTTTTGTTTTGGTCTGGCCTTGGCTGTGAACTCCCCTGACAGAGAAGGGCTCCAGAACCTGATTCTGCAGTGGGACAGACACACAATATGGTGACATATGCAAGGGTGGGACATGAGGCTGTGGCAGGACATTAAGGCTCCTTCCCTCCAACACATGGGACTCAGCTCTGGTGCCGAGCGCAGGGATGGAAGTCACAGTCTCTGGGTTCAATTCCCAGTTCTGACACTTCCAGTCAGGTGACCTGAGGCAGGTCCACTGGCTAGATACAAAAAGAAACAATTTCGTAGTGCACTACTTCTATGGTGGGGAATGATGTGTGCAGAGACCCAGCATGTACCTATCACACAGTAGGTGCTCAGGTAAGCAGCAATGGGTCTCCACTCATAATGTCATTTGTTCCTCAGGTCTACAATGGTACCTGAAGGCCCTGATAGGAGTGTCTGTGGCCTTCCTCCTGTTCCTCTTCATGTTCATCTTCATCCTTCTCCAACGAAGACATCAGGAAAAATTCAGGAAGGATAGTGAGAAGAGTGTGTGTAAAATGGGTCTCAGTGTGAACATCCAAGCAGGGGCTCAATACACCAGCCATAGGGAAACTTTAATCTGAGGGAACATAGCTTATAAACACACTCAGATCATAGGGCAATTTTCTCAGAACTTGTGAAATGTTAGGCATTCTGTGAACATTACTATGTTCTCGGACATTTTCTCACTCACACTTTTGTTGTAAAGTTCCCTTTCTTCCTTCCCTTCACATGCCTCGGGAGGGGCTTCCCACCCTCCTAGAAGAGACTCCTCTCCCTTGCAGCCCAGAAAGAGAAAGAATTGCAACTTCCTGCAGGAGCTGCAGGGCCCATAACCAGGGACAGAAAACCCCAGAAGAGGTAAATCACAGTTGGAGACATTGATCTCTGCCTGCTTGACATACCTCAGTGCTAAGTGACATCTCCTTGTCCCTCCAGGTCAAACTCATCTGCTGCCACCCAGGAAGAAAGCCTTTGTGAGAGAAAGAGGGTCCTGGGAGGGGAGATGCCTGAGGTTTCAGAATTACAGGGGTGGTGGAGACATCCTGGGGGTTTCACTGTGTGGGTCTCAACTGCACAGGGATGTCATCACTTTCCCTGGTTTTCTGTGGCCACCTGGAGCAAGGCAGGAAAGTAGGAGTCTGAGACATCCCTAGACTCTGGTCAGGAGATATTCTGTTTGTTTTGCTGTGACAGATGCTTCAGTGGAGGACATGCAAACTGAGGATGGTGTGGAGCTGGACAGTTGGGTAAGGTCCATGTTGCCATCTATAGTGCTAAAACGTAGGGCCCAGGTTAGTCCAAGGGCCTTCTTTCATCTGTCTCCCTCACCTCTCTGCAATATCCACAGCTGACCACTCTGTCCATTCTGCCAGCAACTGCCTCCTGTGTGCTATGGACTCATTGCTTCCTGGTGTCTTAGCATCTGTCTTGAGTTCTTCTGAGGGGGAAGCCTGGGTGGAGAAACTCACAGTGACATCTAAGGGACCAGCAACTGCCATCAGGGAACACAGCAAAATAAAAGGAACTCGGGCAGCTATATGAGCTTTTGTTTTTCAGTTTGTGTATTGGTGTTTTGCCTGCATGTATGTCTCTGCATTACATGCATATTGATGCTCCTAGAGGCCAAAAGAGCATGTGCGGTATCCTAAAAAGTAGGGTTATAGATGATTGTAGGCTGCCATGTGAGTTCAGGAAGCAAAGATGGGTCCTCTGCAAGAGCAGCCAGTGATCTTAATCATGGAGCCATCTCTCCAACTCTTGGAAACCATTTTCAGGAAGATGAACTGTGTGGCTGAAGACAACACAGCTAGGCTCAGAACGTTAGGTTAAGCCAGAACTATAAGAAGGAAGCCCAGGAAGATCCCTTCAGAGAGGCAGTAATCAAAACAGGTCATTCCATCCATGCTATGAAAACTTAAGACATAGGAGATTTCCAGGGGAACATGGAGATGCTATCTGTACCTCACTACTTCCCTGCTACAGAGACCACCTGAGGAAGATCCCCAGGAAGAGACATATGCTCAGGTGAAACCCTCCAGGCTTAGGAGGCCAGGAGCTGTCTCACCTTCTGTCATGCCAAAGGAACAGCTGAACACACTATATGACCAAGCAGAAGAGGGCCAAGAAGTGGACAGTCAGGTGAGTCCTATCCTCCACAGACCTGCAGGTTCCCCAAGATAAGCATATATCTTCCTGTCACCCTCTCCCATTCCAGGTTACCGAATCCAAGGAGCCCCAGGATGTGACCTATGCCCAGCTGTGCAGCAGGACACTGAGACAGGGGACAGCTGCACTTTCTCTCGCTCAGGCAGAGGAAGCCCCAGAAGAGCCAACTGTATATGCTGCTCTGGCGACTGCTCATCCACGGGCTGTTCCACAGGACAAGGAGCAATGACCCTCTGCCTGCCAGGATGCCTAACAGACACCACCAAGGGACTCTGGGAACTTTTGGAAACCTGACTGCACTTTAAGTAACATCACAGTTTGGAAATAAAGCCAGAGATTTCTCAATAATCAAGTGAAATGAGAAATGAAATAGAAGGGAAGGTTTTACATTGAGTGCTAACTTTAACGATATTTCTCAACAAATGAGAAAATTTACAGGCATAATTGCACAGTCCCATAATTCCAACAAATTGGAGGCTGGGGCAGGGGAATTGCCTTTGTTTTGTGGTGATAGTGGGGTATGTAGTGTATTTCATGATAGACTGGGTACAGAGTGAGACATGTTTCAAATAACATTAGCTACCAAAGGCCAGAATGGAGGTGTGCACCTGAAATTCTAACACTTTGAAGGAATGGAAAGGAGAGTTAAGTCAAGGCCATCTTTAGCTACATAGCCTAGGAGTAAGAGGCTAGCCTGGAACACACTAGACACTGTAAAAAACAGATAAATAAGCCAGGCTTGGTAGTACTTGCCTTCAATCTAAGCACTAAGAAAGTAGAGACAGACAGATCTTGGACCCCCATAGTGCTCGGTGGACTTGGTATCTGTTCTGCTCTGCTGGAGCCCCTAATGGGCTTTCGGTCTGCAACTCTACAGGACCCTGGGCTGATCAATGTGCCCATTCCCTCACACCTAAGCCCTGACTGTCTCCCAGAAGACCTGCTATAACCACAGACACAGGAGGCCTGCCCTTAACCAGGGAGGCAGGAGGCCCGGTCTAACCAGAGACAGCACTGACTCCCAGGAGGCTGGCCGTAACCTGGGGCACACAGCTCCACTTTTCTCCAAAGGAGATCAACTCCAATATGAGACACCCAAGCTAGTTATCATCAGAGTCAACTAGATGGCAAAAGGCAAGTGTGAGATCCTAATCAACCAAACCCAATGCAAATTTGGCAACATGACAGAAGCCAGCTTTCCTACCACAGCAAGCCCTAGATGAATGAAGAGCAAGATTCTGACCTTGAATCTCATCTCATAAAGATGATAGAGGACTTTAAGGAGGATACAGATAATTCTCTTAAAGAAATACAGGGATAGGCAGGCAAACAGGTAGAAACCCTTAAAGAGGAAACAAATAAATCCCTTAAAGAAATACAGGAAATACCATGCAACAGCTGAAGGAATTAAAGAAAACAGTCCAAGACATGAAAATGGAAATGAAAGCAATAAGAAGATCACGAATAGAGACAACCATGGAGATGGAAAACCTAGGAAAGAGGACAGAACTACAGATGCAAGCCTCACCAGCAGAGTATAAGAGATGAAAGAAAGAATCTCAGGTGTAGAAGATAACACCAGACAATGAAAATGCCAAAAGTAAAAAACGTAATAACCAAAACATCCAAGAAATTTGAGACCCCAGTGAAAGGAACAAAACTAAGAAAAATAGGTATAGAAGAGGATGAAGATTCCATGTTCAAAAGGCCAGAAAACATCTTCAACAAAAATTGTAGAGGAAAACTTGGCAAACCCAAAAAAAGAGAGGCCCATAAATGTACAAGAAGCCTACAGTACATTAAATAGATTAGACCAGAAAAGAAAATACCCCCTCACATAATAAAACTGAACACACAGAAAACAGAAAGAATATTAAAAACTGTAAGGAAAAAAGGCCAAGTAACATACAAAGGCAAACCTATTAGAATTATACCCTGCAGCCCCACAGAGAGGGGGACTACCCTCCTGAGGCAACATGCTGTGACTTCCTCAATGTTGTGATTAGGCCAGGCAGTAGACTCCATGCAAACTTGTCTTACACAGATGACATTTCCTTAGCTGACCAGTGTCTGCCTCACCTCTGACCATCACTGTCACAGCTA